CTATAAACTTTGCACTTCCTAGCGTTTTGTCCTGGACAGTTTCCCCTTTGATAGCTTCGTCTGCTAATGACTTTGATCAGGAGCCCCATACAAACAAGAGATTGACCGATGTCGTTGATCTGTCGCATATGCGCGGCTTTCTGCAGACGATCAGGACTTCTTGCGATCAACTTCTAACTGAGCGCGAATACCTGACAGTACTGGTAGCTTCAAAGCTCGCAGCTTCGCATGCCAATCTGTCGGCTGTGTTACTGCAGCATGCAGCATTGCTCTCGGAGCTTCCACTATCTGATCGTGTCATCAAGCAGCGCGATATTCCGGATGACGTCAAATATTTCATTCTGGACTTCTGTCACGAGGCACGCAAGTTCATTGGTAGTCCTGCTTGGGCTGAGGCTTTCAAAGGCCATCCGGACTGCGATTTGGCGGATCTCATCGACGGAAGACTTCTCGCACAGTGCGCGCGTAATCCTGCCACAGAGCCCAGCGAGCATCTCCAAACCCTGCTCAAGGCTACAGCAGCTCTGGACGTCCACGATCTCCCAGCTCAGCCAAAGCCTATTTCCGCAACAAGCGCGGACACTGCTGCGGCCAAGGACAGCGATGAAGAGACAGCGACGTACAAAGTCTTGCCCTTCTCGAACGACGTTTTCGATCCTCATCTGGCGCCTATCAAACTAGATGTGTCAAAGTCAGGAGGCAAGGCAGACACGACTACTGCTAACATCTTCCGCGAAGTTACGCATTGGCATAACCAGAGATCGTTGAATCAGAAAACAAAAGTCGTTGTCGAGAAAGATCCGAAGGTAGCGAAGAAGGCTCTCCGCCGAAACCAGTTCTTCATGGCCGAGATGACTTCGTACGCCGCCAGTCTAACAAACGCCGTTGGCAAGGTACTAGATCCAGAGACCATCACTCTCGGCGACAGGTCGAAAGCAGGCCAAGCAAAATCTATGACACCGACTCAGACGATCGAGAATAAGCGACCGAAGCAAGTGTCTAGACAGAGCACTAAGAACATTAATGCATCAAAGGAGGCCATGCTTGCCAACATTGCCGCAAGCTCGAAGCGTAAAGATGAGGAGAACGCGAAACAATGGTATCAAGCCTGGACCGTCTCCTGTGCGGGCCTTGAGAAGCAGGTCGACTTAGCTTCCAGATACAACAAAGCCAGGCAATACTTAGCCGACCGCAATGAGGCTCAGCGCCAGGTCATTGGTCCCGATGTGCGGATGTACATGCTGAACGTTCTCCTGGAGATGTGGGTACGGTTCTGCCGCGATGGCGCCAAAGAGAAGGGTCTTTATGTCGCTGCACTTCTTTTCGATACTGCTCGGACTATTAGCAACTACGAGACTGTTACCAAGACGATTGCAAAGTGTCTGGCTCTAACGATTGAGCGCTTGAAGCTGCCCACGCTGCAAGTGCCGACAGAACAAGGCGACCGGAAGCTGCCGTTCAAGTTTGTAAGTTGACTGTTAGTTTCACAACGCGCAACAGCTAACAGCATCATAGGTTCTGGAAGAGACCGTTGTATCGGATCTAGCCTTGACCCTCTCTCCAGAGGAGTTTCAACTTCTCCACTGCGGACCGTACTTTGACCGTACGATCGATTCGGCGCCAGATTCCCGTGTACCGTTCGAGCCAGATGCGTGGCAGCGACGCGTGCTGGACGAAATTGATGCTCGCCGTAGTCTGCTCGTCATTGCCCCAACTTCAGCGGGTAAGACATTCATCTCGTTCTACGCCATGAAGCAGGTTCTCGAGGCGAACAACGATGATGTTCTTGTATATGTTGCTCCCACCAAAGCTTTGGTCAACCAAATCGCCGCTGAGATCCAAGCACGGTTCTCGAAGAACTACAAGTACAGCCAGTCTGTTTGGGGTATTCACACACGAGACTACCGGATCAACAACCCCACAGGATGTCAGATTCTTGTAACAGTGCCCCACATCCTCCAGATAATGCTGTTGGCCCCTAGCAACGCGAAGAGCTGGTCCGAACGAGTGAAGTGGATTATCTTCGATGAAGTCCACTGTATCGGCCAAGCCGAAGACGGTGTCGTCTGGGAACAGCTGCTACTCATGGCTCCCTGCCCCATCATCGCGCTTTCGGCAACCATTGGCAACGCAGAATCTTTCAATGACTGGCTATCCGCTAGTCAGAAAGCCGCTGGCAACGAATTGGTTATGGTACAACACCCACACAGATATTCTGACCTCCGAAAGTTTGTATACACGCCGCCCACCAAACGCAACGCAGCTAGCTATCTGCCGCTTCCGAGCAACCGCTCATTTGCGCAGCTTGGGTTGGACGAGCATACAGACTTCGCTTTCCTGCATCCTGTAGCCAGCTTGATCAATCGCACGCGCGGATTGCCCAGCGACTTGTCCCTTGAAGCCCGAGACTGCCTTACCCTATGGCAGAGTATGACCAAGTACCAGACGGCCGAGTACCCGGTAGACAAGTCTCTGGATCCCTCTTCAATACTCCCACCAGTTATTAAGAAGGCAGACATAATCAACTGGCAGGCTGGCCTCAAGAAGCTTCTTACTGCATGGATGGCCGATGACAAGTCGCCTTTTGCTGAAGTTCGGAAGGATCTTAGCAGCCCCATATCTGGTTTACAAGAGCATCAAGTCAGTGAGGATGCTGGCAACGACGCTGTAGACAACAAGGGACAACTGGATGAGTTGGGCATGGAAATCAGCCACGACATCTCTAGCATACTACCTTTGCTCGCTGACCTGCAGCAACAAGACGCGCTTCCGGGTATCATTTTCAACTACGATCGTGCGATTTGCGAGAAGATGTGCCAAACGCTCATGAAGCAACTTGTCGATGCCGAAGTAGCCTGGAAGGAGACTAGCCCGAAATGGAAGATCAAGCTGCAGCAGTGGGAGGACTGGAAGAAGGAGGTATGTTTATCTCTTTAATCAATAATGTTCTGTGTAAAACTAACTCTCCTCTAGGTTGCAAGACGAGAAAAGCAGGGCCTTCGCGGAGATGCCTCGAAGGGCATGACCAAACAGGACCAGATGAAAGAAGCCGCCAACGTCGAGGTCAGCGCCTTTGCTTCTTTCGATCCAAACAAGCCTCTCGATGGATTCCACTTCGCGGATCACAAGAAGTTGTCACAAGAAGAATTCGCTGTACACGCGAAGGAGTTACGTTATCGTGGGGTCGATGAATGGCTTATCGACGGCCTCATGCGCGGTATCGGTGTCCATCACGCTGGTATGAACCGAAAGTACAGGTACTGCGTTGAGATGTTATTCCGAAAGGGTTACCTTCGTGTTGTGATCGCAACCGGTACACTTGCTCTCGGTATCAACATGCCCTGTAAGACTGTCGTCTTCTCAGGCGACTCTGTCTTCTTGACGGCGCTCAACTTCCGTCAAGCCGCCGGTCGCGCAGGTCGTCGAGGTTTCGATATGCTTGGGAATGTCGTTTTCCACGGAGTGTCTCTCAGCAAGATCCACAAACTCATCAGCTCCCGGTTGCCTGATCTCAACGGACATTTCCCCATTACGACAACACTGGTACTTCGTTTGTTCACGTTGTTGAACTCATCCGAGAATGCGCCGTTCGCCGTCCGATGCGTCAACTCCCTGCTCTCACAGCCACGACTCTACCTCGGCGGCGAGGATGCGAAGATGACAGTCCTCCATCATCTGCGTTTCTCAATTGAGTACCTGCGGAGACAGCATCTTCTGGATGCGCAAGGTGCACCTTTAAACTTTGCAGGTGCTGTATCGCATCTGTACTTTACCGAGAACTCATCCTTTGCCTTCCACGCTCTGCTGAAGGATGGATACTTCCACGAGCTTTGCGCCAAGATCGACACAAACAAAGAAGTGGTATTACGCGAACTCATGCTCACTATGTCGCATTTGTTTGGCCGACGTCACTGTCGACAGGCGGACGAAGAATACGTACGAGAGATCGTGAAGAAGAGCCCATCGATTGTGTTCCTGCCTTCAATGCCAGAGCACGCTGCGAATGTGTTGCGTCGCCACAACAAGACTACGCTCGACATCTTCACAGCCTACGTGCGCAGTTTCGTCGACCAACATGTTCAGGAGCCGGACAACACGCTCCCATTGACAGATGTCACCGTCGGTGCTGAAACCTCTCCGAAGTCAGAGAGCCAGAACGTGAAGGCTCGTTCCACTTTTGTTGCTCTTTCGGGATACGATGACAAGTTCGAGTCCATCCACGATCTGTGCAGCACTAGTCGTTCTGGTGTCTTCCTTGAAGAGGCTGTCGTACCTCACGTTGGCCTCTACCCTGAAGATTCCGATCTTCCGCTGAACGCTTACCTTTATGACTTCTTCATGCACGGTGACGTCAACGCTCTGATCACGGCCAACAAGATTCGTCGTGGAGATGTATGGTTCGTACTAAACGACCTCAGTATGACGCTCGCCACAATCACTACAGGTTTGTCGAACTTCTTGGGTCTTGCAACAGAGTCCGATCTCGACTTCATCGACGTCCGAGGTGGTGGTGACGACGAGGAAGAGAACCGAGAAGATAAAATGCTACCGAGCGACACTGCGACAGAGGCCAGTTCAGCCACCACTGCTTCTACGAGCAAAGTTCCCCCCAAGCAGGAACTGGCGTTCCAACCCAAGAAGAAGGCCAAGAAGAAGGTAGAAGAATCATGGGAGGATGAGATGGGTAGCTCTTCTAGCGAATCGGAAGTCGAGGAAAGCTGGGATGCCGAGGACGATGATGAGAAGAAGGACCCGCCCGCTTGGGAGGAAGGTGAGGGCTTGTTGAATGTGCTGAAGGCGTTCAAGGCTCTGAAAGAAGACTTTGACACCAAGTTCAAGGCTATGTGGGCTTAGATGCATTAGCGTATAGGCCTGCTTTACAGTGTCAATATTAGAGTCATCAGAGCCCATAAGGAAGTAGATGTTGAATCAAAGAACTCCCATTATCGTATAGCTTCCTCAAGTCATAAGTTCATACCACAACTCTTAACCCATTTGTGTCATGCTTGCCGTGGCGCAAACTTGACTACGTTCCTCAGTAAATCTGTGCCCGTCTTCTCACAAGCTAATAGCAAGCTGTCTATCCCCGGAATGCGCTCCAGTTCGTCTTGCGTCTGCGGTCTTACCCTAATGATCAAATCTAACGTATGGTCTGTTATTATGGGTGGAGCAGTAGCGGACCGAGCGGGCAGTTTTCGCGTAACCAGTTTACTGAAGGCTAGAAGCTTCGACCGAGCGATACGCGATCCAGGTGATAGTGGTGGATTCTGTGTTGGAGTTGGCGCTGAGGCAGAGGCAGGGCTTTTGCTCATGACGCCGAGGGCGTGGCTCAGAGATGGTTGTTGCGTGAACTTTGCTTTCGATTTAGAAGGTGTCGTTGTATCTAGCGGTCGTTCTTCCGTTACTTTGCCATCTGGTGTGATGCGAGGTGTGGTTATCGTCGAATTTTGTAACGGTTCTCCCGCAGGCTGAGTGGCCTTTTCCGCATCGGTCTTCACTGGACTCTCAGCGCGTTTGCGTTTGGTACCGGCGCTTGTTCGCCGACGGCTGGGACTGCCAAAGTCTAGTGATGGGAGGGTATCGTCAGAGTCGTAAGGGGATGTACTGCCGTGCGACTCGTTACCATGATCTACGCCCAGTTTTGTCTCTGCCATGGTAAAAGACAGGCCAGTGTGTAGTTGAGGTGTCCGGGGAGGCGCGGTCTCGAAAGCGGGAGAGGAGTCGCCAGAGCTATCGTCTGCAACCTTAAGTTGCACTTTTGGGCGGCGGGGGGTATGCGGCAGCTGGATCTCAGGTTCGGGTGGCTTCACGGTCACAGTTGGTTGGTCGATGCCGTTGGTGGCAAGGAAAAGCGAGATAACCTCGAGCCACTCGTTGCCGTACTTTGTTTGCTGGATCTTTCCGATACCTTTTACAGCAAGCAAGCCCTCAGTATCGCAAGGCTGTGCGCGCGCAATGGCTTCCAGCAGAGTGTCGGATATGACCCGAGAAGGCAGTATCTTCCCAGTTTCCGCTAGGGATGTTCGCCGAACAGCTAGTTCTTCGAATAATGCTTGTGTAACATGATCTAAAGGCTGTCCACTAGTCTTGGCAGGGGTTTTCTTCGGTGTTTTAGACTTGGTTGCTGTTGTGCCGCTCTTCGCAGGTTTGACACCAAAAAAGGCTTCTGTCGTGATGGTCGTACCGTCTCCGACATTCAACAGTATCGGATCATCTCTGGATGCTTTGCCGCTCGGATACTTCTCAGCGTGGATCGGTAACGGTGGGGTAGGTCTCATGGCAAGTCTCTTCGCATTCATACATTTGTAAAGCATGAAGCCTGCGTACGCATCTCCAGCCGCGTAGTTGATCTGATCCTTCGACAAGGGCTTGCTCCAGTTACTTGTCCTCACGTCGCCCTTGTAAAGAGGCAGACCGAGCTGCTCCTCCACCTGATGTGCCAAACTCACCAACTTGACCGACACCAACTCCGGCTTTGCAGGGCCGAACTTTACGAGGCGGTAGAGATGGCTGGATTCGACGGCACCTTTGGGCTTCAGCCCGAAGAACCGACTCAATCTCGAGAAGTCCGCCTTCAGCACATTGACACCTACTTTGCCAATCTTGGGATCCTCAAGGATGCGTTTCAATGTCGGCGCGATTATGTCTTCGCTCGTCTTCCCTGGGTGCAGTCCGATGTGAAACAATGCAATCTTGTCTTCAGAAGCGAGTTGGATCAGCCCGATCTTGTTCTGCAAATCGTCTCTTTTCCAATCATTCCACGGCCACTCCATGTCAAATCCAATGACAGGCTCCTCAAGGAACTTCTTCGCGTATATCTCGGATTGCGCTTTGTTCTTGCTATACAGAACTTCGACTTCTTTGCCTGCAGGGCCTCGGTAGAGGCGATGACTCCACCATTGTTTTGGTGCGGCTTGAGTAGATGAGAAGCCATATGACTGGAGTGACGAGGCCTTGGGCTTCTGTGGTTGTATGCAGTACGCGAGTGGCCAATGCGGTTTCGGTGGTTTCGTAAGGTCTTTTGGAGCCACGACGGTGTGGCTGGAACTTGCCATTGATATCATGCTCTTCCAATGAAGATATTGCCCAGACCCAAGTCGCCGGCGAGTAATGATGGATGGCATAGGAGATACCTAGGAGGTATCCCTGATCGCGCGACATGCACGCAACGTGGCGATCGGCGCTAAGAGAAGCACAGACTGTCTTTAACGCGCGCTCACGTGTGGCGCCCCTAGCGTGTTTTGCCAGGCCCTCTCGCCCAGCAGCCGAAGGCTACTCCCGGTTCGTCCCATCAACGCTACGTCAGACTTTCGTCTGGAACAGTCGTCGGAATCTGAAAGACGCTTACACTCGTCTCTTTGCTCCAGTTTCGGAGGTTGACACCTTGGCGAAACCCTGACAGGTCTGCAGACGTTCCCCACTGCGTCATTACAGCGGGGATCTAGACCATGAACCGTTGCGAAATCCACTGCTCCAAACGGCTTTCACGACCTGCAGTCTCAATTTCGACCCCAGATATCTGTGCAGCATCTTTTCATAACTAGGCGCTCTGTTCGGGGGCGCTTCGGAGACCCAGGCAGCGAGGTATCGCCTGGACACTGTCACGTAGTTGAATGACGAAGGACTTACCATACAGCAGACATTTTATTCGGCATTATCAATGCCTCCTACGACTTCTTGCGACACATGAGCGAATTGTCGAAAGGTACCATCCTGGATTTGCTTTAGGCATTGTGGGCGTGACGATTGCCAAGATGTCACAGCTAGGTCTTCACGCAGATGCGGTTTCATAGTCATATGGAACACTCTACGTAAGCACGTCACCTACTATCGGCGCTAGATGCACTGCGACAGACTATGCCACGGCTTCAGCGAATATTCCTTGGGGCCGCGTACTTCGATAATGACGGTATATGTAGGCTGGCTGGTAGCCTCATTTCGGGCCGCCTCCAAAAAACCACTTTTATTCCATCCTGTGTACAAAGTTCTCCACGCAATTGTTTATAAACGTATTTTCTTATGATGCATTTCACATCCTCAATATTGGTCGCTGGATTAGTGGGTCTTGCGCAGGCGCAAGTACCCTCAGGTTTTACACCTCAGGCTACCACCAAGCTTGAGGTTATTTTCAATTCGACCATGGTCAATACAGCCGGGCAGCAATTGGCAAAAGCCTGTAAGTTCCCCAACAATTCGAATCAGGATGACGTCCTGACTTGTCTAGCTGCTGCGACACAACCACAACTTGCACTATCCAGCGCCATGATAGATGCGAGCCAGACCTATATGTTCGTGATGCTCGATCTCGATGTTCCACCAGCGGACGGCGGCACAGAACGCCGCACACTACTACACTGCATGAACACCGGATTCAAAGCAACAAAGCAACAACTCATGGGTGCGGCCACTCTGCTCGCATCATCGGAAAAGGGTCCCGCCCCATACATCCCTCCGGGCCCTCCAGCGACCGACACAGTCGCGCATCGATACGTCGAACTGCTCTTCCCGCAACCTGCCAGTCTCAACATCCAAGCATCAGCGTTCGCCGGCGTACAAGATAGGATAGGCTTCGACATCCAATCGTTCATGTCGCAGAACGGTGTGAGCGCGCCGCTTGCGGCAAACTTCTTCCGTGTTGATGGAAGGATAAGCGCAACGGCTAGTGGAACTGGAGCAGCAACAGTTGCTTCGGGCGCTGCTGCTACGCCCACTGGAACACCACAGCCTTTTACGGGCGCAGCTGGCGAGATAAGCGTACCGTATGGGACAGCTGGTCTGCTTAGCGGCGTAGCTCTTTTCGCGGTGCTTGTATTGTAGTTTACTATGTATATTGAACGATTGTTACGATGTTATGAACTGGATCTGGAAGTCGAAGTCATTTCTAAATGTAATATTGGTGGTCAAAAAGCATGACAGCGACGCATAGAATCATGCATCGAGCTCTATATGCACTGCTCTAGTTCATCGCCTTATCAGCATCCACGATACTGTAGTACTTGCTACTGCTTTTGACGCGCATGCGCTTGCCGTACTTGATCATCACGAGAAATACTGCTGATGCAGCCATTCCAACGAAGGCTGCGGATATGAAACAGTTCTGGTAGCCCAAGTCTGTCAGCCATGGTGTAATACTACTTTTCGTTAGCAAGTCATTCTTTGAAAGCTTTGAGGAACTCACCCGTAGCTGATTGCAAACGACATGGTGTTGCGAATCAAGATAACTGTCACGATCGCATCGCCACTTATGTCGTGGTAGCTGTCGATCATGTAGTTTACGCTGATGGTGACCCCGACTGATGAAGTAAAAGCAACGCAACCCATAGCAAAGACAAGTCCGAACCAGTGTACGCCATGGGCAGCACCAACACCCCAGAGTATCAAGAATGCCGGGACCATCACCAAACAAACTGCAAACGGCCATAATCGATGTTCAGCCTCCATGACGCCGTTGTTTCGGCGCGCTAGTTTGATGGTCAACCAGTCGCTGAATCGTCCTGAGAAGAGTGCTCCAGCAATGACTCCAATGCAGCAAGAGACGTAGCTGAGACCGACCATGGAAGGCTTGAAGTTGTATCCTGGGCCGCCGAGAATGATTGAGGCAGTGGCGTTCAAGACGTTGAACCAGATGAGGTAAGAACCGTAGCTGAACCCTGCATAAAAGATGACGGGCCAGCTCAAGTACATCAGACTACGTTTGGCGCGCTCAAAAACGTTCGATCCTGGAGACGGTTGCCAGATTGACAGCTTCTGAGTAAAAGTCTTTGTCGATACTCGCATATCATCGCTCGCAGTGGACTGTGAAGTCGTCGTGTCGGCCTTCTCTTGATCAACTACCTTGGATGGGTCTCTATGCTGAGACTCGGCTGTTACAGCGACTCCCTCAATTTTCCTTGTATAGTTGGTCTCCTCCATGAATAGGAACATGAAGATCAGCGACACGGTCAAGAAGATTGCTGGCCAGTAAAAGACCCATTGCCACCCTTGCCCTTCCGCAATGAAGCCGGAGATGATGGGAGCGAAGTAATTACTGCCGGCCAATGAGAACGCGTAGAAACCCATGTATTTCCCACGCTGATGGGTGAAGTAAACATCAGTTACGGAGATTTCGGGTAGAGCTTCCACTGGTGCGACGAAGAAGCCCATAACGATACATCGAGCTATCCACTCGCCGTTGCTTTTGACGTACGCACTTTGAAAATCAGTATGAAATCATGTCTCTGTAGATCTATCCGCACTCACCTCCAGATACTGCATCCAATGGCACCGACGACCGATATGAGGAAAGTGAGACGTTTACCGTATCGTAGTGCGAAAGGTTGCCAAAAGAGAAGACCCCAACCGAGGAACAGAAACATGTATCCAGTGCCCTCGTTCAGCGTTGACACAGATACGCCCGAGGCTTCCGATAGTGGTACTAAGACGGAGTACACTGTCGACACGGCGATACCCGTCATCCAGGTGTACCTTCACGACTCATTAGTCTCATATGTGGTGCGCGGTAGTTGCACGTACAGGTTGGTACATATCGTGGATGTGAGCTTGCGGCGTGGAGACCAATTGAGCGGATCATCAGGATCACTCGATGGCGCTGGATTCAGGATAATGTCTCCGTTGCCTGCATGTCGAGCTTGAATGCTATGGTCCAAATCAACCAGATGCACAGTACCCGGTACAGGAGCCATGCCGGCGGAGTCTGACCCCAAAGTCATTGTGATAGTCAACGGCTCACTAGGAAGACGTAGACTTCAGCTGTTGATGCGGGTTCTTTTGACTGCTGAGCCTCTGGAACTGGTTGTACCAAAAGTAGACAACAAGAGTGGGGTGGTATGCAGGTGGAACCCCAAGAACATGGGTAACCTGCGTCATTTCTGTTTGGAGCTCGTCGTGGAGCTTGTATGTTCGTTATCACATCCCCTCGTCTCCAAATGCTTGCCCCCAGGGTATATGATAGCAGGCCATGGAGATATCCACCCAAATTTCTCCTGGGCTGCCCATCTCCGTGTGTATCTACCGGCTTCCGCAACTAAGCAGGTCCATGCGAAGGGACCAAGAGTCGAGATACGGGACGCAAAGCGGGGAATCGTTCGCTTGATAGGCAATGGAGGCGCTGCGTTCATTGGAAGATAACCGGGAAGTTGGAGTTGTTGGAGCTGGATGTAGTAAGGAGTTGCTCGCTAGCTGATGCGGGACAATGTAGGATGACGCGCCAAGGGCCGTTCGTCGGCCTCTATTCCGCTCCTCAACACCAACCACACGTCTTATCGGCTTTATCGCCATACGATAATCGGCCGTCATATACCAGCACGGAACATTTCCGGTGACCACGTTTACATACGGAATGTATCTCAGCGCCACGAATACCAGGGTATCTTGTCTTGGGCCTAATCTCGACAATGACGATATAGGTGGAGATAAGACCGTGATGCTGGTTCACACGATTGACGACGCCTGAGCACACAGATTACTCTCATCTTTCAACCATTTACACTAAACCAGAATGGCCAATCACCCTTCTGAGCTCGCTATAGTTCAGCCCAAACCTGTGCCTCAAGGTACAGCAGATTACGAGAAGAAGCGAGCCTCCATCCTCGAAGCATTCGCGCAAAAGGTGCCTCCGGAACTACGCTTGTCGCCAGAACTATTTGCCAGTCCGCCGAAAGATGTCTCGGGAATACCAGCCACCTGCGGTATACTCACATCCGCTGAAATCGACATCACGGAAAAGTACGATGCAGTAGGCCTTGCTGAAGCCATCGCTGCACGCAAGCTTTCAGCGGTCGAAGTAGCCACTGCATTCTCGAAACGCGCTATCGTTTCACATCAATTGACATGCTGTTTGACCCAATGGTTCATGGACGAGGCTGTCAAAAGGGCGCAAAAGCTGGACGATTACATGTTAAAGAACGGCAAGACGATTGGCCCGCTCCACGGTGTTCCCATTAGCATCAAAGAGCACATGCCCATTGCCGGAACCTATTCATCACAAGGCTCGTTAGCGAGCGTTGTCTTCAATGAGGAGGATTGCCTGCTGGTGTCGATGTTGAGAAATATGGGTGCGATATTCTACTGCAAAACCAATCAGCCTCAAACGATCATGCACTTGGAGTCGACATCTCACTATGGCCGCACGCTGAACCCCTTCAACATCAACCTTAGTGCAGGTGGCTCATCTGGTGGCGAAGCTGCCCTAGTGGCCATGAAGGGATCAGTGCTCGGCGTAGGCACAGATATCGGCGGCAGTATAAGAGGCCCTGCCGCATTTTGCGGTGTCTATGGATACAAGTCGACTTCATACATGCTACCGATGAAGGATTTCCTCGCTCATTCCTTTTCGGCAGAGCTCAACGTTCTGTGTAGCACTGGTCCATTCTGTCGGAGCTTGCGCGACATGGATCTTTTCATGACGACCGTTCTGGACCAGAAACCATACTTGCTGGATCCCAAGGTGGTTCCGCTTCCCTGGACAGGCTTCAATACCAAAACGAAGAAGCCTTTGAGGGTTGGAATCATCGAGAACGACGGGTTCATCGACCCTCAGCCACCAGTCAAGCGCGCTATAACATGGGCTCGTGAGCGTCTCTCGGATGCTCGGTACTCGGAGGTCATTCAGGTGAAGCCGTTCACGCCTTACAAGGCACAAGAAGCTTGGAAGCTGATCCGCCGTATGTACTGGCCAGGCGGTGGCAAACTAGCGAAGGAAGATGTCATGTCCACAGGCGAGCCAGTGTTGCCCCTGAGCGAATGGAATTGGAAAGACGTTGAACCTCTCGGTATGCTTCATGCTGAAGAGGTCAATGAGCTTCGTGCTACCCGCGACAAATACCGTTATGAATTCGCAGACAGCTGGAATGAGCAGGAAGTTGACATCGTCATTGGGCCTGCGTTTGTTGGCCCGGCCTCTGCGCATGATACAGCGTTTTATTGGACATATACGAGTCTGTATAACTTTGTCGACTACCCCGGGGTGGTCGTACCTACACCGATCAAAGCAGAGGGCAAGGAAGAATATGCCGCAGGGTACAAGCCGTTGAGCGATGAGTGCAGACACACCAAAGAGCTGTGGGAGAGCTCAGACTTTGAAGGAGCACCGATCGACTTGCAAGTGAATGCAAGAAGGTATCACGATAATGACTTGTTTGGGGCGTTGAATATCCTGAAGGACGTGTTGGATCTGCCTTAGTACTGGACCAGTCACTCTGAATATAGCGCGCGCCTGTATAGCACATACCTGTACTGAGAGAATCCCGGATATTCGTGACCGCTTTTATTTGTCCTCGTGTATAGAACATCAATCAAGCCAAAAGCGCGGAATGCATAGCAGAAGTGACTATATCAAACGCGTTTGATGGAAGCTGTGACGCAGGAACAACCGAGGTGGCCGCAAGCGAGTGGAAGCGTGCAGGGGTGTTGCGCGGAAGGTGCTGCTCACACGTCAACACCACACCACCCACGGGCGCAATACCCACTTTCCCACCTGAATAAACCGCCCTTCTCACGATGTCGCATTCATAACACGCATCTGCGCTCTCGCTGCGCACCATGGATTACACACATATCGCAGAGCTCAGTCCAGAGCTGGCCACGATCGAATCGAAGCAGTTCCGAGCGACCGTCACGTTGATATGGCCGTATTCGTCATCGACGCGACAATTTGCCCTACTGCTCGCTGAGCCCGAACTACGACTACGGCGCAAGAATGGACAAGTCAGAGCGCGCTTCTCTGGCGCCAGCGCGAAGGCCATTGCGACAGCAGGCGTGGGCATTGGCGATGAGGTGGTCTTGAGCCTACGAGGCGCTGAGTTTGTTAACGAAGGCGCCGTCAGCACACCAGGCAAGAGCATTGAGTGGGAGCTATCGTACACACAGAAAGTGGTGATCCGGGTTTATCGCAATGGCAGCGAAACAGCAAGTCTCGAACTCGTCGATGCCGCGCCCACGCCTGCGACCGGATCGCCTGTCCGCCCAGCAGCCCCGACGCCTGCGCGCGAATTCTCCTCCCCTGCTTTCTTCAAGCGGGCGCGATTGTCCGACGGACCCTCCTTCCCAGCACCCTACGATCCCTTGGCGGACGAGACGGAAGACGTCCATGACCGAAAGCGACCTAGGAAGTCATACGGGGACTGGAAGGCGTGGACATACAGCGCGAGGACACCATCGCCGGAGAAAGAGGACGTGGACATGGAAGAAGAGCTCGAATCTGTTGAAGTGTCGCCTAGTCGCGCAGGGCAACTTCCACGTACCCCCGTCTCGCCTCAACGACCAGCCAGGCCCTTGCATGGTCAGGAAGGTGAAGAGACGGAGCCGAATACTCCAACAGACGAGGGTGCAGAGGTCGTTGGCGAGTCTTCTACGGGGCCACCAAAGGACGCCGATTCCCACCATCTCTACACTGGCCCGGACGAACACCCACCATCAGATGCACAATATGCTTTTGGAGGCGATACCGAGATTGACACTGAGGTTAACACCGAGGAAGAAGGCAACACGCGCGATGAGCTTAATGCTACCAGCACTAGCACCACCGAGGCGGATGTCGAAGAACAACAAGACGGACCACTTGAGCGCGTCCAAGAACCAGTGGTTGACATAGAGGCGGTCACAGGAAAGGATAAGATGAATTCGACTCATGAAGCAAGCTCCTCGGAAGTCGTAGAACCACATGTGGAAACCGAACCCGTGCCCGCCGCTGGGGCTGACAACCACGACAACAACGAGCTTACGATTGCTATGCCTCCTCCCGCCTTCCCATCGGTCGCCGCAGGCTTGTTGACGCCCATCGGTCGAGAGCCTGAAAGTCCAACGCTTGCGCCACAAGACGCCTCCAATCTTCCATTGCCGTCACCGTTTCCAGGAGAGCATGATGTTGATGCTGCGTCTTACTTTGGCATTGCTACTACTATCGAACAGCCGGTCGAAGCCGATGCTACGGGAGACAAGGAAGAAGATCCACCAAGTGAAGCGAGCTACATCGGCGAGACGTCCTTCTTCAGCTCAATAGGCTCATCGAGAGCTTCGGTGTTCCACCCGAATCACGAGTCGGCCTTCACACCTGTACGATTCACATTCGGCATGGACGGTGCTGGCTATTCTCGCCCCATGGAGCTATCATCTCCTCCGCCGGAAGCTCAGCCAGTCGAGGAGAAAGCTGAGATCATCGATGTTTCAACCTCGCCCGCCCCCCGCGAACACGACAATGGCGATTTGGAAGCAGAAGATATATCTCAGTCACGCCTGAGCACTCCCCAGAGCGATGATACAGATGGGCCCGTTGAAGATTTGACTACTGCAAATCCAGAGATGGTTGAAGACGAAACGGCCGAGCCAGAAGTCGTAGAACTCTCCTCGGAGGACGAAGAAGAAGCCTTGAGTGAGATCGAGCCGGAATCCATGGCAGTTGAATCTATGATGCAGCCCAACACTGCTCAGCAGCCTGAAGAGGATTCCAATGTCTCGGATGATATGCAATTTGTGACCGGAAGCCTAGAAGACATCCGTGGCCACGCACTGGATACAGGCACACAACATTCCACAGCTACGTCAGCTATCGTCGATTTGGGCTCCCCTTCAGATGATAACAGCGAGATCGGCACCAGGCATGAAGAGCAGCAGCTTAGCTCTAGCCAAAGAGAGTCTCCTTCTCAGGACCAGCCCTCTGCCATGGATCTTGGTAACCAGAGTGAGTTTGTAAACCTGGATTTTGCGACCGCGGACACACATGCTCTTAATACATCAGAGGAGCGAACAATTACTCACACTAAATCTCAGGAACCGGAGCCTGATGTTGTACCACACCCCACGGAGGAACCGTTTTCACCTGTCGTTGACCTGCCAGAACCGAGCTTGGAGGCTACTGACGACTACTTGCAAGATGCATTTCCGATGGAACACGCGTCATTCGGGCAGGAACATGAGCAGATAGCTGCCTTTGAAGATGACCGTCAATCGGATGTCCACATGGAAACAATAGAAGAGTCGGCCGTATTCCAGGCAGACGAATTCAATGACCAATTAGCGCCTGCCGATACCGCCCAGACAGCCAATGAGCCTGTGAGCCAGCATTTCGTCATCGAACCTGAGGATGCCCACAAGATCGAAAGCATGAGTGTTGTGCTTGAGCCGCCTGCAAAGAATACCAGATCAAAAGCAAAGGCATCAGCGCCCCTGGAGGAAGAAGATGCTGTCCCTGAAGCCAACAAACGATCCAAAAGATCTGTGACTTCTCATGCCCGTTCAGCCGTTTCACCACCCAGAACACACACTCGTTCTGCCCTCTCTCCTTCACAGGAATCCACACAGACTTCTCCTTATAGTCTTCGTTCACAGTCGAGATTGTCGCCAATGGAAAGCTTGTCAACCGGTGCTAGCATCGCTCGTCAGAGAGGCTCGCGTAGACATGCTTCGCAAAGAAGTGTAGACTCCATACCCGATATTGAAGTATCCCAAACGCAGGAGTATGACCGAATCGTTTCCAGTTTCCAGCCGTCGCAGGAGTTGGGTGCCTCACAAGGCAGATATTCCGATGTCGCTTTCATCAAAGACTCTGAAGAAGAGAGCGCACGCTCTAAGTATTCGATTTCTACTTTGCATCCCTCAGACATGGAGTATATGCATCACAGCGACCCTGTCGACCGTGCCAATGCTTTTGATGATGAGAATGATGAAGGCTTGAAACCGCCGCCAGCAACTGCGCCAGAGTTAGGGCCTTCAAAGAAGAAGGTCAGAGGGAAGAAGAACGCGCAGCAAAGTGTGGAGATGAGGAGTAGTAGTCCTGCTCAACCCGAATCTCCGTACGTTACACAGCCATTGGTCAGCAGTCCAGGTACGCAACGACATGTAGCGCGATCAAAGGACACGATAACTCCCAGCCCACGTAACGTACGAAGAACGAGGAGGAAAGTATACGATCTTCCAGGTGGAGGTAGCCAAGACGTCGGTGATATTGACGCGCTCATGCGCAGCTCACCACCCGTTTCACCTAGGATCGACCAACGGACAAGACAACAGGGCAAAAAGCCCGTCACCCCTGTTGCAAGCCAGCAGACTGCCATGGAGTCGCAGCCCAGCATCAACGCCCAACATGAACAGAACACCCTTTTGACGCCTCAGCTTACGCAAACAACATCTGCAGGTCTGCGCTCCGTCCAAGCCGAGACCGAGGTCGACATGGAAGTCTTGACCGCATCACCAGAGCCCAAAACAACACCGCGCCGTAAACACAGATCGGTCGACGCAGCAACTATTCCCGCATCTCCAACCTTGATTGATCCATCGTCCGACGACGCCAACACTGACGCGCCCGATCCACCCTCTGTCGGCCTTTCCACTCCGCTAGCTTACTATACTCCTCTAAAGGACCTCGTCTACTTCCTCAACCGCTCCTCCGACTTCCACTCCGCTACCAAACCCGACGTACTTGCCCTGGTCACCTCTCCTACTACGCCAAGCGAAAAGGCCAAGAAGGGACCAAAACACTGGTTCACCAGTCTTCAGATAACGGATGCTAGCTCCTGGCCCGAGACGACAACGGTACAGGTCTTCCGCGCTTATCAGAATGCACTTCCAGAGGCGCAGGTCGGCGATGTGGTCCTACTCCGAGCGTTCGCTGTCAAGTCGTTGAACCGGCATCCCATGCTTATAAGCGCGGATGAGAGTGCATGGTGCGTATGGCGATGGGGCAAACCTATCTGGGGGGCGAAGAGAGGTGCATTTGGTGAATTGAGAGCAAGAGAGGAAATGAAAGGACCGGTTGTTGAGAAGGGTGCAGGGGAGTGGCGAGAAGTGGAGAAGTTGAGAGATTGGTACACTGCGAAGATAGGTACTGAGCTGGCAGAGAAAGAGGAGGCAAGGGTCCGAACGAGGAGTAAAGACAAGGGGAAGGAGCCGGTGGATATAGATGCATGAGAACTGTGGGCTTTTGCGTGGCGTTGAGGAACGTCTCGAGTGTGGTATGGCTATGTTATCGGCGCATGTATAGGGTACACTGGGTGCATCACGTCCACGTTCTGAGGGACCACATTAGCATGAGCAGCACTACATCACTTTGCGAGTCAACAAAGTATTGAGAGATCATTCATGTGTCTCATTGGTTTCTACCATATTCCTTTTCATGCGATCGTATCTTCATAGCCCACACCTAAACCCTGAGTCTAGAGCCAGCTTTTCGCTCGGAGCGTCTGTGACTACTAGACCGATCCGTGGATCAGCTTTCCGTCACAGAAGCTCGTAGCTACTAATCTCACTCCATTCTCTCGTAGTCTAATTGTATGAGGCGTCTATTTCTCGTAAACCCAGTCGTGCTGGGCGGACTTCCAGCTCTGGACTTCGCCCTCCTTGAACCAGAGAGCGATCTCCTTCTTGCCGTTCTCGACGCTGTCGGAGCCGTGGCAGACGTTGCGGCCAACGTCGAGGGCGAAGTCACCACGGATGGTGCCGGGGGCGGAGGCAAGGGGGTTGGTGGCACCGAGGATGGAGCGGCCGGTCTTGACGGCGTCACGGCCCTCCCAGACCATGGCGCAGACGGGACCGGAGCCCATGTCTAAGAAGTGTTAGTGGTAGAACTGGGTATGTTTCGCTCGATATGGCCAACGTACAGGCAATTAGACCAGGGAAGAAGGGCTTGTCGCTCAAGTCGGCGTAGTGCTTCTCGAGGTGCTCCTTGGAGGGAGTGACGAGCTTGATGGCGGCGAGCTTGAAGCCGCGGTTCTCGAAGCGGGTGATGATGGGACCGATGAGGCCGCGCTGTTGGGCATTCGTTAGTATATGTGCTTTTTATCTTTTGTTGAGAACCCCGCTGTCTGAGTTGTAACAGCAGAATCATTGTGACAATTGATTCACTATCGACAGCTTGAGAAGTATAGGGGTCAAAACGTGAGGGAGATACATACCTGAACACCGTCAGGCTTGATAGCGATGAAGCTATTCAGCTGTCAGTATACCGTTCACCGCCCTTCAGCTGCCCCTCGTCTTGGGATCAGGATGCCCAACGTACGTCTGCTCGGTAGTCATTTTGGCGATGAATTGACGATTGAGTTTTTGTGTAGAATTGATGTGTCTTTACGACTTGATGAGAGGAAACGAGAAGGAGAGGCGGACGTGAAGCTGGAATTTTATGAAGGGGGTGGGGTATCGACGCCCTCGTTGTTGTCTAGTGGGGTAGCTTGCATAAAATTATGCCTGATTTGTGCAAGAGAGCTGGACCCTGACCTTGGCGCTGCTTCAAAGTCCACATGGCATCTCGAGCGTCGAGGACTGGTCGATTGATTGATTGACTGATGATATTCCAGGCTGGCTTCTGTGTATTAGAGAGCTGCCTGTCATGATTACTTTACGGAAGCAGCCTCCCCGGTGGACGGCTGTGCTTTTGATGTTGGCGCTGTTGGCTTGCCTGTTCGTGCCAGCTGGTATGTAGCTAAGCTCACCCCCGATATATCCAGCCCACGACTACATTCCCTCTGCACACCTATGAAGCTATGAGGAGGTTACTAAAAGATACCAGTGTCGGTCAAGCACGAGAATTTCAAAACATGCAGTCAATCGGGCTTCTGCAAGCGCAACCGCCAGTTCGCCGATGACGTCTCCGCTTCGAGCTCCTGGACCTCGCCCTACGTCCTCGACCCTGCCTCAATCACGTTCAAAGATGGCCAATTAGACGCCGTCGTGCTCAAGACACTGAAGGAAGGCGAAGAGAAAGCTCGCTTGCCGCTTACTGTCACGTTCCTGGAATCGGGCGTGGCACGCGTTACTCTTGACGAAGAGAAGAGAGCCAAGGGCGACATCCAACTACGACACGACAGTCAAGCACGGAAGGAGCGATACAACGAGGCGGCGCAATGGACTCTTGTTGGAGGACTAGACCCGTCCAATGGCGCTGCTTTCAACCCCGAGACGGAAGATGGCTACACCAAGGTTGTCTACGGCAAGGGCAGCAAGCACCAAGCCGTCATCCGCCACGCGCCCTTCGGCATCGAGTTCCAACGCGATGGCGAGACGCAAGTCAAGTTCAATGAGCGCGGCTACATGAACGTCGAACACTGGCGACCCAAGGTCGAGAAGCCCCAAGAGGAGAAGAAGGAGGGCGAGGAAGAAGCCAAGGAGGAAGAGAAGAAGACCGAAGAGCCTGTCGAGGACGAAAGCACGTGGTGGGATGAGAGCTTTGGTGGCAACACAGACAGCAAGCCGAGAGGCCCTGAGGCTGTTGCGCTAGACATCACGTTCCCTGGATACGCGCACGTCTTTGGTATCCCAGAGCACGCAACAAGGCTATCTCTCAAGACCACCAGGTGCGCAGTATCTACACAAATATATCTACTTAGCTGACAATCTCTAGGGGCGGCGACAATGCCTACACCGAGCCATACCGACTGTACAACGCCGACGTCTTCGAGTACGAGATGGACAGCCCCATGACCCTCTACGGCGCCATCCCGTTCATGCAAGCCCATCGCAAGGGTTCCACCGTCGGTGTCTTTTGGCTCAACGGTGCCGAGACCTGGATCGACGTGACAAAGAAGAGGAACACTGCCAACCCGCTCGCTCTTGGTGTTGAGGGCCATACCGATACTGAGACGCATTGGATGTCTGAGAGTGGTCTGCTGGACGTCTTCGTCTTCCTTGGACCGACTCCTCAGGACCTCACTCGCCAGTATGGTGAGCTGACTGGTTACACGGCCATGCCCCAGTCCTTCGCTATCGCCTACCACCAGTGTCGATGGAACTACGTCACCGACGAGGATGTCAAGGACGTCGACCGCAGGTTTGACAAGTTCAACATCCCGTACGACGTTATCTGGCTCGACATTGAATACACACAAGAGAAGAAGTACTTCACTTGGGATCCTCTGACCTTCGCCAACCCCGAAGGCATGCAGCAGCAGCTCGACAAGCGTGACAGGAAGCTTGTTGCGATCATCGACCCTCATATCAAGAATACGAACGATTACCCGATCATCGACGAGCTGAGGAAGAAGGACCTCGCCGTCAAGAACAAGGAAGGCAAGCAGTACGAGGGCTGGTGCTGGCCTGGCTCATCCATGTGGATCGACTGCTTCAACCCGGCTGCCATCGACTGGTGGAAGGGCTTGTTCAACTACGACAAGTTCAAGGGCACTGCCCACAACACTTTCATCTGGAACGACATGAACGAGCCCTCGGTATTCAACGGCCCTGAGACAACTATGCCCAAGGACAACTTGCATCACGGTAACTGGGAGCACCGCGATGTTCACAACATCAACGGCATGACTTTCCACAATGCAACATACCAAGCCATCACCGAGCGCAAGAAGGGCGAGATTCGCCGTCCCTTCGTGCTTACTCGAGCTTTCTACTCTGGTAGTCAGCGCACGGCTGCCATGTGGACTGGCGATAACCAGGCTGAGTGGAGTCATCTTGAGGCTTCCATACCCATGGTTCTCAACCAAGGTATATCTGGCTTCCCCTTCGGTGGTGCAGATGTTGGAGGTTTCTTCGGTAATCCAAGCAAAGAACTCTTGACTCGCTGGTACCAGGCTGGTATCTACTACCCATTCTTCCGTGGTCACGCTCATATCGACACTCGTCGTCGTGAGCCATACGTCGCTGGCTCTCCATACACGGAGATCATTACTCAGGCCCTTCGTCTTCGATACCAGCTCCTACCTGCCTGGTACACTGCCTTCCATGAGGCTCACACCACCGGTGCCCCTATCATCCGACCCAACTTCTGGGTTCACCCTGCCGACGAGCGCGGTTTCGAAGTCGACGACCAACTCTACATTGGTTCTACTGGTCTTCTCGCCAAGCCAGTCACAAAGGAGGGCGCTGACAGTGTTTCTATCTACATCGCGGACGACCAGCCCTACTACGACTACTTCGACTTCACCACTTACAGCGGCGCTGGGCACCACACTGTACCAGCTCCTCTTGAGAAGATTCCTCTTCTCATGCAAGGCGGCCACGTCATCCCACGCCGCGACCGTCCTCGTCGTTCCTCTGGCCTCATGAAGTACGATCCTTTCACTCTGGTCATCGCTCTCGACAAAGACGGCAACGCTGCCGGTACTCTGTACGTTGACGATGGCGAGACCTTCGACTACGAAATGGGTGCCTTCATCCACCGCCGCTTCTCCTTCGACGGCACCCGCCAGATCCTCACTTCCTCCAATCTCGACTCGAGCAAACGTACTATCAAGTGCGAGAAGTATCTCAAGACGATGGAGAAGGTGCGCGTCGAGAAGATCATCATTGTCGGCGCACCCAAGGTTTGGAAGGACAAGTCTGAGGTCGTCGTCATGCAGGAAGGTGAGAAGGAGACGCAGAGGAAGAAGCCTGTGCCGCTTGAGTTCCATGCTGCCGAGGGCAAGAAGGCTGCGTATGCGGTGGTGAGGGACCCTCGGGTGTTCATTACCAGAGGGTGGAAGATCGACTTCGCGGAGAAGGGTGCTGGGCACGAGCATCATGGTCATGAACATTGAGCTCTGGGGTGTCTAGATGCATGAGAAGCACGCACTGCAATAGGGAAAGGATCGTGGAATCTGAGATGAAACGCAATCTGTATAGAACTAAGATTATGAATAGTGTCGTGTGCATATGAAGACATCTTCATCAGCGTGTATAGCTTCAGCCGCTCACTTTCTCACTGCTCGGACGCTTTCGTGACCGAACAAATACCACGGCCTCTCGCTCTGATCGGTGCGTTCTGTACGAATCGCATGTATGACGAAACATGCACCCTCATTCGCTATCCGTTCCAATCTCAAGCTCGAACACTAAGCCATGGTATCAATCGCTGGCACTTCGCTGCGTCCCTTGCCATCTGCCTTTTTCCACACGCCATGTAGAGTACCGTCAAGTCCCACATCCCATAGGAAGGTCCAATTTGCGGTGACAAACTCATCGTGTGGATAGTGATCGACGAAATCCTC